GAGGGGGAAAAAAGAGGGACTAACCTATAATTTATAATACTGAGGCACATAAACCTAGGAGTCATATTAATTGTGATACATATGGTGACAATGATGTGGGTCAGAGAGCTATTCTAAGCTTCAGCAATTTCACAACACTGCTCTGTGAATCTTCAGATACTTGCTGAATAAAAACATGAAAAGGAAAGATAATAAAATGGAGGAAGACCTCCACTTATGTGTTCTTTAGCTCTTTAGGACTGTCCAGTAAAACCAGACCTCCATGAGAAAGTGATTAGAGAGATCCCATTGGGTTATTTTGTTTGCACAATAATGTGTACAACAGTAAGACAATGCTTAAGAGGAGGGCTTCATTGGGTTGATATTTATCCAAGTTTTGGAAAATTAATGATAAAACAAAAAATATGATGACAATGGTAATAATAACAATAATAAAAAAATAACCACCCCCGTTCAGATACTTTCTATCTATGTGAACCTGGCAAGTCACTTAATATTTCTTAATCTTCCAGTGCTCATTTATAAAATGAGGAAAACAGTACGTATAGACAACTGCTGAGAGATGCTATGGCTGAAAATTTAACCACACTTTGGATGATGTGTGAATGAGATAATTTTTTTTCTGAATCCAACCCAACTGGTCCTCATATTAAATAACAACAACAACAATAATGCTTTTACTGGGGTTCTACTCAGTGACTTTTCAACTGAGATCACTTATGCTAAGTCGTTTTCAAATCTTAAAGTTGAATAGAAATGTCAGCTATTATAATGATATTAGTAATAGTAAATGTTATGGACATATCACTTTGAGGTTTAAATTCCCTTTACATATATAATCTCATTTGAGGTAATTGCTCAAAATGTTAATACTAGTGTTTTATAGATGAGAAAAAAGAAACAGCTTGAAACAACTAAATTATGAATCATATGTCCTGAATTCAAGTCCTGACTCCTGCCATTTATTATTTGTGTGATGTTGGGCAAATCATTTCCATGCTTTATTCATCATTTTCCCTATCTGTAAAATGAGAGAATTGAACTCATGGACTTCAGAGGACCCTTCCAGTTCTAATCTTAGGATGCTATAGAGGTTAGGTGACTAGCCCATGGACAGTGCTAGTTGGAATATGAGGCACCATTCAAAATCAAAACCTGACTCCCATTCTACAACCTATGGAGCATTCTTTGTGAGTAGTGGTAGCCTTCTTCTACCTAAATAATAAATAAATAAACAAACAAATAAATTAATGAATAAATAAATAAAGCAAATAAAGAATGAAACAAAAAGGACTGAATGTTAATTAAAGGGAAATACAGAGATTTCTTGCCAAGTTCTCTGATTTCACATTCATAATTATTTCCAGTATAATACATCTTAGCTAGTCCAGAACTAGAAGTACAGAACCCATAGATTTCTTACTAGGAACTTACTAACTACTTTATATGTTACTTTCAGAGAATTAAAACCTTCTCCTCTGATACCCAACTGTCATTTCAAAAAAAAAATCTTCAGTGAAATGAAAGGGCAAATCACCTCATTCCAAATAGTTTTATGTGAGTTTTAATCCCAATGAATTCTAACATGGATACATAGATACATAAATAGCGCATATATATATATATATATATGTATCATATATATATATATCATATATATATATATACACACACACACACACACACACACACACACACACACCACACATATAGGTTTTTGCTTTTTGGAAAAATAAAGTTGAATTGTCAAAGAACCTTGCATTTGATCCTTCTAGAAATTGATTTTTTTTCCTCCTTAGGTTTTCCAGATATTTCAGGTGTATCTCTCCATAGGCATGGGTGAAAAATAGAACTCTAAAAAAATGAGGGAATGAATTCTTTCTCTAAACTATGAATAATACATTAATTCATAGTCTTGGGAGGAAATATTATATAGATAAATAAACCACACACACACACACTCATACCAGGACAGGAAAGAGGTGCCTACAAAAGGCCCGATGGGGTCCAGCCTATTGGGCTTCTCTGAACTTGACTTAGGCCAGTCCCCAGATAACTAACACAACTTAAATCCCCAGTCTCTTGCCAAAGTCATTCTGCCTTTGCAGGACTGTTTTGGGTGGCTGTGCTACATTCAGTCTTTGAGAACCCACTGGAATCTCCATGTCAAAAACTAGGAATGGAGGAAACCTGAAGTACTTATTTATGCCAATGTCCTGAGTCAGTTTAATTTACTTATTCCATGTTGGCTAAAAATATGGATGACTCCTAGGGGCATCATCCCCCTAGAAATCCATAGATGTTGATGAAACTCCAGTATTATTGAAAAGTACCTACTCTTAAAAATCATGCTAACTCTTTCCTGACTTCCATGAACTTAACACTATATTTGTATTCCAATGATTTTGGTGGAGAGAACCCGTAATCGACCTCACTTGTGACCCACGTGGAAAAAAAAGATTTTGTTTCACGCATTGTTCTGTGCCATGCTGAGCTTCCAAAGAAATGCCCTAAAATGTTCATTTCATCTTTAGGGCTACCATAGAGGGATCTGAGAGCCCCATGAATCAGAGCAAGACCACCAAGGTTTTGATTTATTTTGTTTAATATTAAGTTGTATTGTTGAAGGAAACATTGATTTATTTTTTCTTGAATTAGAGTTTCTTCCTCCATCTAAAAGCCTCAATTTACTAATGATGCTGAAATGGCTTTAAGGGATTCAAACTGAGTTATTAGCTCTTTGTATCAGCAAAAACTGAGCATTTAGATCTTGTGCTCACCACAGGAATATATTTACAGCTCAGGTTAAATCAATTCAAGCTCTTTTGTCTCATAGCTCAGAGAACACAGTGTCGACTCAGGACTACATTTTGTTACTGCAACCTCAATAAATCCAGGTCAGTTGCAGAATGTGTATAAAGCATGAAGTTCAAGGCTATTAGGAAACGACCAGCTCTTGGTGGCCTGTGTACAGCAGACCCAATCCAAACCAACCCAAGTCAAACCAATGACCATTCAGGAAGTACTGACTACCCAGTACCTATACTAGGCACTGGAATCGTAAGGCCAAGTTGAAAAACAGATCTTGTTTTCACTGAGTTTACATTCTACTGAGGGATATAGTATGTGCACACACACACACACATGCAGATAATAGAGTACAATGAAACTAGGGCAGTGGAAAACACTTAAGTGTGTGAAGGTTCCTGGAAGGCTTCTCAGTGGAGGTGGTCACTGAGTTGAATCCTGAATGAGCATAAGTACTCTAGGAAGAGAATATAGAAGGGATAATGGTGTGTGCCAATTGATAAAGCAGGAGACAGAGTGTTATCATGAAGATTCTAATACACTTTTACATGTCAAAAACCTGCGAATATTTATTGCGTAATTTTCCTTTTAAAATAGGTACACATAAAATCAGGAAACTAAATATGTTTCATTTAACAAGACCACAAAATGGCAAATTAATATTTACCTAAAATTATTGACATAATCACATACAAGTTCTTGATTAAATAATAGCACATTAGGTCAGTCTATCAGTCCATCCCTAATGGACACAAACTTCAAATGGCAAATGTTCTTGACTCAAAGATAAGGTAGGAGAATGAAAGCAGACTAAATGGCAGTTGGGACATCATGCAGCAATGTTAGCCATCCCAAGCAACTCCTGGGCACAAAAGAAAACAAGCCCATTGCTACCAGGGCTTTCTGTTGGCTCACATGGCCTTTTGGATCATGGGAAATCACAATCTCAAATAAATCACATTCACATGAGATCCCAATAGTATGAAAAAGATCTAGTGGGCTATATGAAGTATCTTAGTAAAGGTAACTCATATATAACAACTATAGCAAAAGCTGGTTATCTAGGATAGCATAGGTTAGGTGAAAGAACACTGGATTTCAACTCAGAGGACAAAAGTATGAACTCCAATTTGCCATTTGCTCACTTTGTGCCTTTAGAGTTACTTTAACTTTAACAGATGACATTAAGTCATCTGTTAAAATGGAGGGTGGGGTAGGATTGGGCTAGGTTACATCTGAAGTCCCTTTCAAATCCAAATTCTCTGATTGTCTTCTGAACCATGATAATACTCATGATCAGGAAAGGAGGCAAATTGTGTGTGTGGATGTGTGTGTGTGTGTGTGTGTGTGTGTGTGTGTGTGTGTGTGTGTGTGTATGAGAGAGAGAGAGAGAGAGAGAGAGAGAGAGAGAGAGAGAGAGAGAGAGAGAAAGAGAGAGAGAGAGAGACTGATTGACTATTGGAGACCTATAATGAAATCCATGGAATATTAAAGGGACAAGAGGAAAACCTCTAGCATCCCATAATATGGATAGGCACGAACAAACATTGCACAGGATAGGAAGAATATGGGGTGCGACTTTCACCAATGGAAGTATTGTTCACCTCACCGAAAGAAGGAATCCAAATATCAGAGTATATCATTTGCAAAAATGAAAAGATTTGTAATGAAGTCAGAGACATTAAGTATACATTTACCATGTGAAACTCCAGAGATGGAAACAATAGATATTAGCTACATTTTCTTGGTGAATAATCCACTCTTTGAGAGTAAAACATTCATAGAATATCATTTATCAAAACTAGGGCATTGATTAATTAAAATATATTTTGATTGGCACAAGGCTGCCATGGTCCCCATTTGTTCTAAAAACATTTTGGCAAAAGTTTCTAAGGCACTGAGTAGGACCCCTTTGGAGCATTTATGTGAGAAAAGACATGGAATTACCAAGGCTAAGATGTGAATTTCATTGTGCATCAGGGAAGTCAGTACCCACTCCAATGAGATAATGAATCTTTTACAGATACACAATTGTGATGGTAGGAGTCAGTTGTTTGTAAGTGAATGAACTTTCTGAGTTGCCTCGCTTATGCCCAGATGGTCTTAGATATTGTATCCAGCAATCGATTGCTGTGATGGGACTTGGTGTGAGTTCCACCACTGGCCAGAATATTTGAGTGTTCATCACTTACCCTAACTTGTCCAACAAAAGCATTGGCTTCTTCTTCAACCACAGATAAGTTTCTTGGCAAATATGGATCAAAAGTTGGAGCATTGTCATTTACATCTGTCACCACAATGTTCACAGTGGCTGTTGAAGTCTGAAAGAAAATGGGTACTTATGAGCTGAATGTCTTTCATTATGAAATCAAGGCAGAAACGACACTACAGAGACAAGGCACCACATAGTGGCAGTGATGATGATAGCTGGCATGCAGAGAATACCTTACATAAATTATATTATTATATTGTTGCCAATAATTCCATAAGGTAGGCCATTACGATCTTATTAGTTTGATTTTATAGTTCAGGAAACTGTGTTTCACTGAACTGAAGTGATTTCTCAAGTTAACATAAATATTAGGTATCACAGTCAAGATTCAAATCCTGTTACCTTCTGGTCCATTTTCAGCACTTTTCCCAATACGAAACGCATCTTTTGGACAAATAAGTAGATTTGAAATCAGAAGCCCCAGGATCCATTGTGAATTCTGCCCCTTCACTACTCTGAGCAAGCCACTTCTGCTTATTTCTTCCTCTATAATTTGGAGAATATTCATAAGATCCAACATTTTGAACAGGAAGAGCCCATACAGGTCTTGTAGAACAACCACCTCATTTTACAGATAAGTAAACTGAGGCCCAGAGAGATAAAATAACTTGTTCAAGGTTATAAGGTAATAAAGTGAACTCTACTTTTGAGTTCCTCCTTTTCATTGCATCACACTGCCTCCTGATGGATGAACTAGAAGATGCTTTCTGATCTCAAAATTCTCTTCCAGCTTTCTATCCTCATTTCTCTGTGGATTAATTCATTACATTGATTTTGGCCTTTGTCCCCGTGGAGCCATCTTCCTAGTGAAAATAGCACATTTCCATCTATTCTCCCTGTTATTTATGTTTGGAAAAACAAAGATTTGTAATTTGCAACCACTTTTTTTTTCTTTAAGAAAATGATGAAAAGTGCAAATGGTGATATTAGAATGTAAAAGGCATTTAGAAATGTCAAACACCTCCCAGTGACATATTTTCAGAAACTGCTTTCACCTTTATGGAGACCACAGGACAAGTCTTCACATTTTTAGTTTAGCAAATAATTCTCTCTCTCTCTCTCTCTCTCTCTCTCTCTCTCTCTCTCTCTCTCTCTCTCTCTCTCTCTCTCTCTCTCTCCCCTCTTGTCTTTTTTTAAAGACTCCTCCTTTCTTTTTCTTCAGTTACAAGCTATAAAATAAAAACTTGATAACATCAAAGAGCCATTGCCAAGGTTACACCAATACTTAGATAACATGCTGCTCATGCCCCATTGCTAACTCTGCCTTGAAACTAAGAAACTGGAGCCCTTATGGTACCGATGATAACGCCAAGTTCTCCTAAAGCCATGCTTCCCTGAGCTGTAACTAGAGATATTATCTTCAACCTGGATCATTTTATTTCTGGGATAGGAGATGATGTTGCCACTAAAGCCAATGAAACTAAGCTATGCTTGGAGAGTGGGTTCCTTTCCCCTGCCCAAGTTGCATTTCTGTGTTCCTAGATAATGCTCACATCCATGAACAAAACAACATAATGGAATACCCTCTCTCTGCTGCTGGAGACCCCATCTAGAACTGACTCTGTATTGATCTTGAGAGGGGAAGAGGTGGAAACCCTTCCAGAACTAAAAGCTAAGTCCATCACTATAGTAATTGCTCTTCTTTTTTTCCCCCTCCCTAGCCCATCTGCCGAAACCAGTGAACTGCCAGAATGGATCATACCCTATTTAGCTTTGTTAGCATGTGATTAAGGAAGAAAAATGTGGTTTAGATTCGCTTCTGCAATAAGACACACTCCTAGAGACAGAAGTGAAGGTAGCTTTAATTAAGATTATAATATATGTACAGAAAAGGTAGATTTACAGCAACATACAATTAGCAATATGAGTATAGTCAGGCTAAGAGTACAAAGGATAGCAATAATATAAGAAAACATCACCAATTTGGGTAAGCACCAATACCTGAAGGCCAAGCTGGGAACTGCCGGGGTACAGCTTTCAGGGTCCCAATTGGGAAAGTTCCAGGCAGAGCATCCTGTCCATGGGTGAGAATCAAAAGATGGCTTTCCCAATTAGGATTTAAATAGGGCCTCCAACAAAGAAGGCCCTGTACCAAAGGTGTCCATGATTCTGGTAGATGTTTTAACTTGGTCCATGAAGTGGCCAAGTTCCTGGAGCAGGCAAAACATCTGAGAATATTAATTAACTTGATATGTTCTGGCGAACTGGTCAGGTTCCCAGAGCTCATCTCCTGAGAACTGGCTAAATTCTCAGGTTAATATAAATAACCACACTCTGGCTTATAGCCCAATGTTTAAAGTCATACAGGACATGGAAGATCTTTCCTTATAAGATTTATCAATCAGTTAGTTTTTGAACCATATTACTGTTCCTCTTCTCCTGTGATGATCCAAATTTTCTACTTGAGATACTTAGAGTTTGGAATACGAATTAACCTTAGAAAGTCTGGAATGTTTTGACACTACAATAGACAATGGACCAGTAGGCTCATCATAATTTCCTAGCAATGATTAATTTATTTTTATCTTTCTTCCCATTCTGTTTCCTTCCTTTCTCCTCTCCTCCTCTTCCCCCTCTCACCTTCCCCTTCCTTTTCTCATTCATTTCTTCTCTCCTCCCTTCCTTTGTTTTCCCTTTTTCATTTACTCTCCTTTCTTTTTTCCTTCCATTTCTTTTCCCCTTCTTTTCTTCCTTCATTCAGTTTTTTCTTTTTTCATTTCCTCCCCCCTTCTTCCATGAGGTGGTAGAGGAGGGTGACAGGAAGGTAATTATATTAATGCTATACTCTTCATAATTTAAAGCTCCCCTTACCCATGACTTCATTAAGACTAATTTTGCTATCTATACTATTTTAACCAAATAACATATTTGTGGACTCAAAGGTCAAAATTATTTTTTTTTATATATCCCATTAATTGCTGAATTGATAGGGTTACTTTGTGACTTTTAAACACTTATATAAAGGAGAATAATGTTTAAAGTTTTTTTTTCTCATATAATACTTTCATTCATTTATCTACTGGGAAATATTTATTTTAGAATTTTATTAATTTAAATTCTGTACCTCTAAGCACACCTTTCAGAAAGGTTCACTTACTCTTTGTAAATTGTAGAATAACTAAGTGAAAAAGTTGCCTCTAGCTTCTATAGGGCACTGGAAAACTTATGAACTCCAAAGCAAATGCAAATATATCATTCCCCCAATGTCTAAATAGTTTATACCTTTTATAGCCAAGATTCTAATACTGGCCAAGGAGGTTAATGACCAAAAATAGTTATGTTTACCAGACTACTCACTGCAGTATTTTATGTAGTACCAGGGAGCTAGACTTGATGTGGATGGCCAATGATTAGAAAATAACTGGACAAATTGTGATCTAGAAATTAAATGAAATAGCATTGCCATAAAAACAGTGAATTGGGAGGAATGCAGAGTAAAGAATACTTGGATGAACCTGTGTAGACCAATACAAGCAGAATCAGGAGAACAACAAAGACAAGTACCATGAGGCAAATGCTTTTAAATAACTCTAGAAGGCAGCTGAACTCTCCTCCACTGTCATCACCAGCCCTGCCTAAAAACCCAAATGATGAAGCAGTTTTCTGTTTTCTCAATAAAAGGGTCAAACTTCTTGGCATAAAATGCGGCAGATCTGATCTGACAGCTCTGTCTGTTGGCTTTGTTTAGGCATTTATTTTTTTTTTACAAGAGTAGTTTTAATAAGGTGGCTGAATCTGGATGTGACTAAGGTATGAAAATAACACAGGCAGCTAGGTGGCACACTAGATAGAGCTCTGGGCCTAGAATCAGGAAGATTCATCTTCGTGACTTCAAATCCAGTGTCAGACACTTGCTAGCTATGTGACCCTGGTCAGGTTATTTACACCTGTTTCCCTCAGTTTTCTCATCTGTAAAATGAGCTGGAGAAGTGAATGACAAGCCACTCCAGTATCTCTGCCAACAAAACACCAAATGGCATCATGGAGCGTTAAACACAACTGAAACAACTGAACAACAAAATTAAAATGAAAGGTAAAATATTTTATATTACCTTCTTCCCAAAGAAAGAGGGGGCATTTTTTTCCTTCTTTCTTTGTATAAAGATATGTTTTTTTTTTTCTTCATGGTGAAAGAGAAGCTATGAGACCAGGCCCCTTTATTATTTTTTGTTATTGCTTCTGGAGGAGATTTCTATGAATAATATCATTCTATTATTATTAGAAGTGGAAGACCTATTGGGTATTTAAAATATCCTTCCAAAGGGCTTCAAAGAACTATCATAGTGGCATGCCTGAATCTGAAGTTTAACCTCAGTTAGGTACAGAGAATCCAACCCAGACTACGATAACCATTGGGGTTCACTTGCTGCCAAGATAGAACAGAATGACCTGTTCTTCTGCCTCTGTACATCTGGTTGGCAGCAGCAGAGGGATACTAACAGGGCACTTTGGTATTGTTTCTGGTGCCCCAGAAAAAGTTGGTGGCTGAGTTGTGCAGAACAGATATCTTTTACATATATTTCAAAGCTAGTGAATTAATGGAGACCACCAGGAATTATAGAAACACATAAAAGATGAAGGCAGGACAAACGTAGCAGCTGCAACATTTTCAAAGCAATTAGGGGTAATGGAAACAAAATCAAAACGCATGAATTCCATGCCTTTTTAGTCATGCTGGTAAGTTATCAGATTATGAATTGCACAGACTAGAAGATACATATCTTGTTCTTTTTCCCAGTAATTTTCTCTTTTATATTCAAGAACTCATTAATAAAGGAAACTCGTAAGATAACAGACATGAAAGGCTCTCAAGAATGCATTCTGGCTGGAAATGGGGAGTGAAGGCATGTGTCCATGAATCAGCTACTAGCAAGGAACATAGAATGCAGGATTCCCAGGAGACATAGCACATCGCATGCACGCCTGCTGGCCTCCTCAGGGTATCATGGACCTCCAAGGCCAATATCCAAACTGTAAACCAACGTAAGTTAACGCAGATCTTATTGGAATAACTGTAGATTCATTAAATTCTAATCTTTACAGAAATTG